AAATATGAATTATAGTGACCAAACGTACTTGACCTGCAATAGGGGAATGCAGCTTCTTTTCATTTTACATTCATTCTTTTTTTCAAACTAGACATATTAAGCAAGAATTTCATAGATTTCAATACATTTTTGCTATTAAAAATATTTTACTTAATGAAGAGCATAGTATATCTTTAATATAACTATAATTCTATGATTTGAAAGAATGTTGTCAAAAATGCTCATTAAATTAATTATTATTTCCTTTACTTTGTTTACCTTTATAATTTTAAACGTCCATTTTCACAATACCATTTATATGCCAATAAGATGTTCAGTTACATTGATACATATGCGTATCAGCTTCACTTGTGTATTTGTTTTATGTGGTCATTTCCTTGTTCAATGTTCTATTTTCAAAGATGCTAACAATTTTTTGTTTCCCTATTAGTTATATTGGAAATATACTCAATTGTCGGGATAATGTTAATTATTCTATAAACATCTTTTCAGTTAGACATTCCAGAATACATTAGAAAAATAGTCATTTTTTGAAATTATCTATAAGTATATCACAAATCATTATTATACAGTTGATGGTATTGGTTAATAACTTTTTTTAACCTTCCCTTTTTAATCCTATTTGGTTTGAGGATTCTTTGATAATGTGATAATTTTATGCTGATATGACAATCATTTTAATTTCGAAATTAACAAATAAGCCATACAAACACGAACATTGCAAAAGTTGTAGCACACTTTTTTTATTTTGTTGATTTAAAGAACGTCTTTGTAAAATTTATTGTATTATCTAAAGATATAATACTTATACATGCTTTGAATTTGTGTTATGTTGTACACTGTAATTGTATCTTACATGCCTTATAATAAATGTTACTATTAAACATGCATACATGTTTTTGTATGTGACTTAATCTTATGTAGTGAAACATGTGACAAGCTAGTTGTAATCTTAGCAATAAGCTGTTAATATATAGTAACATGTTAAATCACCATAGGTCTATATTGTCGGTCTTTAGTTTCGAAATTTTCGAAAGGCTGAGCGATTATGTCGAAATACAGTAATGTTTCATATCTTAAAAGACCTTAATTTTTTCGATCTGTTGTCGTCAACATGACCCAGAATAAATCATTATATGAATTTAAGTCCTTACATAAGCTCTGTATGGCTTTAGATAAAGTTATTAAATAAATAAATTGTAATAGCTGCACATAATATTTCCCGATACTAGTTGGGCACACGTTTCACGCATAGATATTCAATTTTGCCAGGGAAGGGAAACGATTCGTACACTTGCAGAGTTCTCTCCCTAAATACATTTCTGATTATTATGCACACTGATTTTGTTATCTAAATATTAGTATGAATGCTATCATATATTATTCTTATGTGATTGTCATTCCTCAGGCAGAGAACTTCTTAGTTCGAAATATATATGTATAAATTAGGGATGGCAACGAGTAACCGGTTAACCGAGTACTCGATCGAACGTCCGAATATCGGTTAACAAAATTGATATTCGATTACTCGGAAAAAATGTATAATTTCTATTTTATTTGCTATTTAGACAGTTTGGTGTATCCAATTAGTTCAGAAATTCAGAGATGTGCATATACCTTCATAAATACCTGTTAAATGCAATCACAACTTCCTTGCATAGGTGCGAAAATGATACTATAAATTTAATGAGGCGATCAACAGTTTGACACGCGCACATGTGTCGCTTACGTCATCCGGCCTCTTATGATATTTAGTAACCTTTAATTTTGTAACACAGCGCAGTTTGTACCCGAATCTTGTTTAAACGTAACATTTTTGAAAACAACAAAGGGCCGTATTGCTATTATGATATAATAATTAAAGTAGTATTTAGATCATTGGAAATCGTCCGAGTAACCGAGTACTCGATCGGAAAAATGACCGAGTACTCGAGTATTGATTTTGGTATTCGTTGCCATCCCTAGTATAAATGTATGTACTTCTAGGTTATGAAATCCTGTGTCTCACTTTGCACTGTAAATCGACTATGAATTTGTTGTTACTATTTTATTGTTGAATAAAAGTTATGTTATGTCCAGTTATATTATGTTATGTTATGTATAACTGAGATAAAAATGAAAACATTTCCTCAATGCCGTGTCCTAGAGCATTCCAGTCTCCCCTATTTTTTATTGTTTTTGATAAGAGTTAAGTATGTAAAAAGAATCCTTTAATCCGAGTGATTACCTATTATTATTTATTTTCAATAATTAAACGTTTTCTTTTACCGAAATAAACACTTTATATTTACTTTACGCCACTTTACGCTTCTTTACTCCACTTTACGCCCCTTTACGCCACTTTACGTATTTTAGGCACACCGCAACTTACGACAGTCTGGAGAATTCTGGAAATCCAAATTCTATATTTAGAATATTATTCGAAAAACTCGGCGGCTGATAAAATCGGTCATATAATATGAGTTTTCTGTTTGTATTTCAAAAAGGTTCTATTTTCAAATTGTTGCATGCTTCGCATATTTTGTACATGTATGAAAACGTTACATGATTTACGATCCAGGTGTGGAAAGGTAATGTTTGTTCGCAAACAGGACGTTTCGGCCCCAAACCAAATCGGCCCCAATAGAAAAATCGGCCCCTGGACGTTTCGGCCCTTTTCCGCGAGACGTTTCGGCCCTACTATATAGTACAGACAATTAATTAGATTAATTAACAACAATTGATTTAATTACAATTAAACAATTATAGCTATTTATTATGAGATATACATAAACATTGAAGTTAACATTAAATGCAACAAGTATCTAATCGTTGATGGTTTTGGTAAAGATTTAATCTTTTACGTAAAATATATAAGACGTATCGTAAATCTTTCAAGGTACTTGGAAATTGGCGTTCCACGTCATGAAAATTGTCATTCATGATTATTATAACTATGAAATTTTAATATACCGGTTTAAAACACAGTACTTATTTCTGGGGCCGATTTGGTAAAGGGCCGAAACGTCTGGGGCCGAAACGTCTTGGGTAATTTGGGGCCGATAGGTCTTGGGGCCGAAACGTCTCGAAATCGTTTGTTCTCAGTCATGTCAGTTCGGCCCAAAGTCGTTTCGAAACACTTGTCAAAAATGGTAATTTTCATCTTTAAAAAGACAGTTTGAGGTGCTTAATTAAACTTTGATGATTAAGCTTGCCTTACATACAGTATGCATTATGCCAAAAAAAAAACTTTATAGTCTTTTTTTCATCGCCTCAGTCTTGTTTAAAATCTGGTAGTTTTTAGTAAAATTTCCAAATTATTTGCTTATTCGTACTGTACTGTACTGTACATATATATTGATCTGTTTTTTTGTTAACTTCTTCCTTGCCATACTTAATTACCTAATGAAAATGGAATGTTGAAAAAATAAAGCACTGACGTCACTAACAAATTAAAGCCCAATTTTTCAAATGCCCTAGAGTTCTACTTATATCTTTTTGTTACTGCCAGTGTGTTTCTTGCGCTAAGTTAATAGGGCATGTTTTAGCGTTTTCTTGCCCCCACTATAAGGGGGGGGGGCTTAAGATTTACCCTTATTCGTCCGTCCATCCATCCGTCTGTCTGTTCTCATTTTGTGTTGGACGTAGCTCAAAGTCTAGTCTCAATATTTCAACTACAAGTCCGACCGATTTTATAATCTGATTTTTCATAGATGTCTGTCTTTCTCGAAGGGCGACCATCATCTATATAATGAAAAGCCCTAAAGCGCACAATTTGTTGGGCTACTCAAAATCTATTTGAGCTAGTCATGAAAGTGGTTTTGTTTAACAGTTAACTACACATGTACCGGTTTCGGCAAACTTTTCTTATATAATAAAACCGGTTGTGGTTTTGGCAAACTTAATTTATAGTGTTAAAAATATCTATTGTGTACTGTCAAGTCAATTATAGTAGATGTTAATTTGTGCTTTTTCGCGCATTTTCATCTTATATCTTTTAACTGTACTGGTCGGGGACCATCAACCAGACACTTTTTAAACATTTTTCCATACAGATCTCATAATTTTTAAGCTATAGATCTGAAAATTTGACACAGTATAGCTAGGTTTTTCTCCTAACTAACAAACTAGTTTATTTACTTCTGTTTATGTTGGCACTTATATCTGAGGCCCATCAAGGAGGGTATCAAAATAACCTAAATTGTCCACAGTACAGTACCATCAAGTGTCTGGACAGATTTGGATATGATGCTGATTTAATTCAGAAAAAAAGCTTAGGTGACAGCTAGACCGAATTTTCCAAATTTTCAACGTCAACGTTCTTGACATTTAAATATTACCATTTACGACAGTTGAAATAAATTTGATTACTTAAAAATAGAAGAATCATGAATTTATTGTTGGTATAAAAGCGACTGATATATTGACAACCACAGAACAAAGAAAAAACCTTAATCAGGCATTTTCTGGGCTGTCCAGGTTTGGTGGTTGTCTGGTTTTGGTGGTCCCCAACCCGTATGTAAAATATCTACAGTAGGCCTACAAATTGTACAATATATTTCATATTCATTAATGATATTTTCGTCATAATGTTGTTAAAACAGCATATTGATGGTAAGACACATTATATATCAATGAACCAAGTACAATGACTTATTACTATATAACATCGACGAAACCACTTTTGCACGTCTTCATATATTATAAGTTCGCCAAACTGATAGTTCGCCGAAACAACCATAATTCATCATGAATACGGAACCCTGAATTAGTTCAGAAGTATGGTCTCCCACACAGGGACTCGGCACAGTGTTGGGATAGTGTAAAAAATAATTATAGAAAAAAATATACCGTATATATACACCCCTGATGAAGGCATAATAAGCTGAAAGTACTTGGGTATTTATACTTAAGCATATGAACGTTTATTTTCTCCAAATATTGTTATTCTGTCTACGTTCTTGTATCCTTCTTGGGATCCAGTGTTTTTGAAAGGTATTTTGTAGATGTAAATATTTTCACAAACCTAATATTATATATACAGTATATTTTTTTCTAGAATTACTCTTCACACTATAGTCCCTTTGGTCTCCCCGGCCACACCAAAATACAAATACCGGTAGTCTTTATAGATCATTTTGAAATGTCCAAAGAATAGCAGTCTGCTGAATCAAGATGGATTATGGTCAGACTTCTAGTGTCACTTTCTACAAGATTGCTATTCCCATATACTATGTGACACCCCTCTCCTGTACATCATGCCATATGACCATCCCCTATGCTATACATTGTAGGTTATTCACAGCCTATAATTACTATTTTATTATAATTCTCAATCTTTCCTAGAACTGTAAAAGTTATAATAACAGCATACAGTAATAACCCTCAATTAAGACCACCATCGGGACTGGACCAAAGTGGTCTTAATTGTGGGGTGGTCTTAATTGTGGATATTCTTATCATTGCTTACACACGATATGATATGGCCTATTTTAGTCATTTTGTATGAACAAACAATATGTATCATAACCTGCAAATACAATATAAAAGTATATATTTTATAATTTTACATCTGATGGGAAGAAAACATATTTCTGAAGAAATTTAATATCAAATTTTCTTTGTTCTGATTTCAATAATAATTATTGTATGAGGTACATAATTCACATATCATATCAGACTTTATTTCTTCACAAAACAAATTTGCATAAAGCAACATTAAACTACTATGAAATTAACATTCTCACCTTTTTTCATTAAATATCCCATAAATAACAGCTTTTGACACCTTGTGTAAGCAAGTGTCATGCCTAAGAGCAATCAAGCAGATAATAACAACATAAAAACACATTTAAGATCTAGGAAGGTGTTGATTTTAATATCAGTGGTCTCAATAGTGAGGTCAAATAAAGAACAAAATAAGGAATTGGGACTGAATTTGGTGGTCTTAAATGTGGATAAGTGAGGTGGTCTTAATTCTGGATCATGTAACCATTGACATAAAGAACAGAAAATTCCCTTCTTTTAAAAACTGGTCTTAAAAGCGGGGTGGTCTTAAATCCGAGGTGGTCTTTAGTAGGGATTCTACTGTATATTAAATATTTGGGTCAAGAACTTAGAAGTAGGTATCTGGGCTGCATTACGAAGGCTACATTACACTTACAGCAAAAGCAGAATTAGTGTATACTTCAAAACAGATAATTATTTATTATTTTATCTCAAAATGTTTGGGAGACATATTGTTTTTACCTTCGCTGTCTGTCTGTTCGCATAAAGCTTATCTGGCCTTCACAGGTCAAACTACTGGTGGGATTTCAATCAAACTTTACAGGAATGATCAGTACCATCTGTAGTTGTGCACATCACCGGCACATTTCGCTTCACTGTACAAAATAGCTGCCAGAGCAAGAAATAGAAAAATCTTGTTCGGCCTTCACAGGTAAAACTAGTGGTGGGGTTTCAACCAAACTTTACAGGAGTGATCAGTATCATCCCTAGTTGTGCACATTACCAGCACGTTCCTCTTCGCTGCACAAAATGGCCGTCAGGGCAAGGAATAGGAAAGTCTTGTCAGGCCTTACAGGTCAAACTACTGGTGGTATTCAAATCAAACTTTACTGGAGTGATCAGTACCATCCCAAGTTGTGCACATCACTGGCACAATTAGCTTGGCTACACAAAATGGCCACCAGAGCTAAAAATAGAAAAATCTTGTCCGGCTTCACAGGTCAAACTACTGGTGGGATTTCAGGAGTGATCAGTATCATCCCTAGTTGTGCACATTACTGGCATGTTCTGCTTAGCTGCACAAAATGGCTACCAGAGCTGTAAATAGAAAAATCTTGTCAGGCCTTCACAGGTCAAGCTACTGGTAGGATTTCAATCAAACTTTACAGGCGTGATAATTATCATCCCTAGTTGCGCACATCACAAGCATGTTTCGCTTCGCTGCACAAAATTGCAGCCAGAGCTAAAAATACAAAAATCTTGTCTTGCCTTCACAGGCCAAACTACTGGTAGGATTTCAACCAAACTTTACAGGAGTGAACAGTACCATCCCAAGTTGTGCACATCTCTGGCATGTTTCGCCTTGCAGGGCGTCCATGGCTGAGTGGTAAAGGTGATTGACTTCAAACCACTTGCCTCTCACCACTGTTGGTTCAAATCCCAACAAGGACTTTGGATTCTTTCATGTGAGGAAGCTACCCAGTTAGCTTACGAAATGCGGTGGTTCTACTCAGGTGTCTGTTTGTGCTTGAAAAATGCACAGAAGGGCACCTGAGGTCCTCCTCCACCAATAAACCTATACTGTGTTGATGTGACATAAAACCCAAAGCAACACAAAAAACAAAGTTTCGCCTTGCTGCACAAAATGGATGCCAGAGCTAAAATTAGAAAATTCTTGTCTGGCCTTCACACTCTGGTCAAACTACTGGTGGGATTCAATCAAACTTTACAGATGTGATGAATATCATCCCTAGTTTTGCACATCACGGGGATGTTCCGCTTCACTGCACAGAATAGACGCCAGAGCTAAAAATAGAAAAATATTGTCTGGCCTTCACAGGTCAAACTACTGGTTGGATTTCAACCAAACTTTAGTGATCAGTACCATCCCAAGTTGTGCATATCGCTGGCAAATTTCGCTTCGCTGCTCAAAAATTGTCGCCAGAGCTGAAATTAGAAAAATCTTGTTCAGCTTTCACAGGTCAAACTACTGGTGGGATTTCAACTAAACTTTACAGGAGTGATTAGTACCATATCTTGTTGTGCACATTGCTTGCACCTTCCGCTGCTTTGCACAGAATAGCTGCCAGAGCTTAATATAGAAAAATCTTGTCCAGCCTTTACAGATCAAACTACTGGTGTGATTTCAACAAACTTTACAGGCTCGAGTGACCATACAAAGTTTTAGGGGACATATGTTTTAGTGCCAAAAGCCCTTCTAGTTTATATGGTGTTTAGACACTCAAATTGAATTTAAACAGAAACTTCATGCAAATTAAGAATAAGTACATGTAATTGCAGTGGTTTTTTTCACCAAAATATTTGGCGAAATTCTCCCCATTCCCCACTCAAAATAGTATGTTTTTTCCCCCCTCAAAGCTGAAATTTCCCCCAATAATATGGCAGCCCAAATCTGCCTGCAATGAATAACATTTTTTTGCAGCTAACTGCCAACAAATGCTTTATTTTATGCTGTAAGACTTACTGTTAAGCAAGGTTTTTCATATAGGTAAGGGGAGCTACTCCTGGTATCCCAACAAGTTTATCATGTGACACATCAATATTTTAGATCCGTATAAAAATCCCCCTCCTATCGCATTTTTCCCCCTCAAATGGGCACTGACCCCCTTCCCCCAAAAGTGAAAAAAAACACTGAATTGTAAAAATTAATTTTTTGTCTAAATTAATAAAGATTCCTTTGGTGCTATAAAGAATAAATAACAGTATGAATCTCAGGACGAGCAATCATGGTGTTCTTGGTTTTAAATCACAAACTAGCAGAACTAGCACTGTCAACTTAAAGTGTTTGTGGGTTTGTTGCTTTAATTCATATTAAAGAATTACATGTATTTCAATTATATCAGTGTTGAATACATTTTTTATATATTTTTTATCGTTATTCTATTTCAGAAAAATGAAAACATACCATATTACTGGTCTTGCTATTAGAGGGTATTTTGAAACTGGTAAATGGTGGAAACCAAAAAAGAATGAAGTTCTAAAGTGCATTTTTGTTGAGGGGAAAGTTGCTGTGATGAAAGGAAAAGTAAACTGTGGCTCTGTGCCCAAAGAAATACAGGAAGTGTCAAGGAAATTCATCATGGCTGGGGGCAATATAGAAGCTAAAGTTATAGATAAAAATCCAAGGTATAGAAATAAAGGGGAAGAAATACCGTGCATATATATTTGGTGGTCTGATCTGAACAGTAAACAAATAAAGGATGCAGTGAAGGCAGCAAGGGAAGGTATTTCTTTAAACAAAAACAAAATTTGAAACAAATTACTGTATTATTTGTTAAAAGAATGCAAAATTACAAATATTTTACAGCATGTATCCAACATTCTGTAATAGATCACTCACTAGAAAAGTTTAAATCATTGTAGATTCTTTAAACTATAATAAAATTTCTAAAATGCTTGGCAATGAATTGTAAAAATTTGACATGAACAATTTAGAACATACAGGTAGAAAAAAAGTAAATGATTAATTCTAAAAAGTGCATTGATGAATTGATCATGTCTGGTAGACAGTTCTGTCGTTCTTGGATGGAGTTTTAAATGACTCAACAGAAATGTATTGGACATAATGATGACATATTGATGCAAAAATCAGATCTCCAACATATAGTTCAATGTCACTGTTGAACTTAACATGTATTAATTGTATTTTACTATGTCTCGATGCATAGTCTAATGGTGAAGCTGTCTTTGATTCATATCAACAATATATAGATATTGGATAGCAGATATCAACAATACACCAATATACTAATAATTACCTATAATAAGTTGTCTGTCATTTACTTTCATACCTTTTTAAATAATTTCAGTGAAATACATGTTCTGTTCAGTGTTTTTTTTATAAATGCCATTTGCATGATTTTTTTTCTGACCCTTTTCTTGCCCTCATTCCTATAAAATATTTATGTTAGATATAGACACATGCTTCTTTGGGTGAATCTTCATAATTATGCCCCCGTGCTAAGAAGAGATACAGTAAAAATTGTTAGAATCAGTTGTTAGAAGTTTTTAAATATTGATCTTATTAACAAATTATTTTTATGCTCCCCGAAAAAAATTTGGGGGAGCATATATTCGCCGCCTTGTCCGTCCGTCCGTCTTTCCGCACTCACAGGAGAGTAATTATGTGGCTAGAGGGACAATAGGTAACTGTTCTTTCTCTTTGATGTCATTCATTCCGTAATGCTTTTATGTGGCTATTTTCTTTTGTGTGGCTAAAAAGAACAATAGAGAGAACAATAGAGTAGCCACATAATTACTGTCCTGTGAGAACGTCCGTCCGTCCATCCGCTTTTTTTGTCCGGGACATAACTTTGAAACAACAAGAGGCATCAACATGAAACTTTGTAGATAGATAGATCTCATTGAGTAGGTGTGCAGTGCACAAGAACTGTTACTCTGTCTTGCCTAATTTTGGAGTTATTGCCTTTGTTCATTTTGACATTTTGAACTTTGTCCAGGACATAACTCTAAAACTATAAACTATAATATGAAACTTTTTAGGTAGATAGATCTCATTTAGTAGGTGTGCAGTGCACAAGAACAGTAACTCTGCATTGCCTAATACTTTAATTCTTGCCCTTTGTTTATTTTTACTTTTTGACTTTTGTCCGGGACTTTACTCTAAAACTATTAGAGATATCAACATGAAACCTTGTAGGTTGATAGATCTCATTGGATAGAACTGCAATACTAAAGAACCTAAACACAGCCTTGTCCAATTTTGGAGTTATTGCCCTTTGTTCATTTTTATACTTTGAATTTTACCTGGGACATAACTCTGAAACTATAAGAGATATCATCATGAAACTTTATAGATAGATAGAAGTGCAGTGCAAAAAAAAACAACATAACTCTGCCTTGCCTAATTTTTTAGTTTTTGCCCTTTGTTCATTTTTTTTATACTTTCCTGTGTCCAAAACCTTCTCGGGGAGGATCACCCGGTTCAACCGGTTCTTGTTATGTTTTAGCTGTGGCCGAAGCAAGAAAAGAGCAGGGTGATAATGGAATTAAGTTTGAACAGCAAAAAATACCACCAAAAGAAAAGGTAAAAGTTGTTAGTGCTAGTTTCAACAATTTTCTGTATGTTTTATTAACATTTACATGTCTACAGGCATTTTCACAGTGTCACCACTGGTCAGATTATCAGACCGATTCCCTATGGCAAATATGCTTATTTTTTTCCCCTGATTTATGACCAAAAAATTCCCAATTGAACTGAAATGAACACATTTGATGATGTTCATTCCAGATTCTATCAGATGTTTCCTCACATATTGTTGTCAAATATTATCATTGTATTTGTTACATTCCAGTTGTTTGGTATTGTAAGAATAAACAATATCATAAATTCTAAATGCTATGTCAAAAGAGCCTGAAAGGAGGTTTTAAATGGTACCAAATATTTTCCCAATTAAAACAATGTGCATATCGTCAGCATTTTCCAGTTCAATGAGTTTTGTCCGAGTTATGGCCTTTTAATAATTTTTAATTTTAAAGTTTGTCAGGACTACTCCTCTAATACCGTTAATGCAATTGCAATTAATCTTTACAGGATTGATAAGTAGGTCAAGTTCTTGTGCACAATACACAAGTTTTTCGCTTAAATGATTTTCAGCTGAGTTATTGCCCTTGAATAAAAATGTGTTTTGCCCTGTTAATGATTTTTGGGTCTCATGCTACACAGTAGCTTCAACATTTGATTGGCTATCCTGAGGCAACACATGTCATCTTTGTCAATGAATGTTTAACTCTTTCAGCCTGGAACATCTAGCCAAAGCATGACGGATAATGGTACAAGTGGACCTGCAAAAAGCAGTAAGAAACAGAAGGAAAAGGTAAGGTTTCACAACCTTCTTTGACAAAGATGTTGATAAAGTTCTAAAAGTTCAAATATGAAGATGTAAATTGGGTATTTAAAGCTTTTTAGCTCACCTGTCACAATTTGACATGGTGAGCTTTTGTGATCGCTTTTGTCTTGCCGACTGTAAACTTTTACTTAAAACAACATCTCCTCATAAACCACTGAGCCAATTTCATCCAATGTTCACAGGAATGTTCCTTTGGTAGTCAACTTTAAAAATTGTTCAAAGAATTTAATTCCAAGCAGAATTCTGGTTGCCATGTCAACCAAAAGAAAAAACTTAAATATCTTCTCTTAGAAAACTGAAAGAGCTAGAGCTTAAATATTTGGCATGAAATATCATCCAGTCAGTGTCTACCAAGTTTGTTCAAATAAATGCCCTGGGGTCAAAATTGGTCTGCCCCAGGGGGTCATTGATTTTCTTAATATGTATGTATTAAAAACTCATGTTTTTACACATGCACTATTTTAGATACAAATATGAACTTTGTGATATAAGTTTAACATTAAATTTTAGATTTTATAGGATAAGATTGGTTTAAAATTACATTTAAATTTTCTAAATTAGATGTGAACGTTTGATTTTTGCAGCCTGGTACATCTAGCAAAAAGATGAGTGATAGTGATACAAGTGGACCTGCGAAAAGCGGCAAACAGAATGAAAAGGTAAAGTTTTATTACCTCCTTTTTAGCTCGACTATTCGCAGAATAATCGAGCTAATGCAGTCACCCATTTGACGGCGTCGCGTCCCTGTGGTTAAGTTTTTGTATGTAAGCTGGTATCTCCATAACTACTGAAGGGAATGGATTGAAACTTCACACACTTGTTCTCTGTGATTATCTAAGATGATTGGCACAAGTCCCATAACTCTGGTTTGCTTTTTTTCATAATTATGCCCCTTTTTCGACTTAGAAATTCTTGGTTAAGTTTTTGTATGTAAGCTGGTATCTCCATAACTACTGAAGGGAATTGATTGAAACTTCACACACTTGTTATCTGTGATTAAATAACATGATTGGCACAAGTCCCATAACTCTGATTTGCTTTTTTGCATAATTATGCCCCTTTTTCCACTTAGAAATTCTTGGTTAAGTTTTTGCGTGCAAGCTGGTATCTCCATAACTACTGAAGGGAATGGATTTGAACTTCACACACTTGTTCTCTGTGATTATCTAAGATGATTGGCACAAGTCCCATAACTGTGATTTGCTTTGTTGCATAATTATGCCCCTTTTTAGACATAAAAATTCTTGGTTAAATTTGTGCATGCCAGCTGGTATCTCCATAACTACTGAAGGGAATTGATTGAAACTTCACACACTTGGTCTCTGTGATTATCTAAGATGATTGGTACAAGTCCTATAACTCTGATTTGCTTTTTTGCATAATTATGCCCCTTTTTCGACTCATGAATTCTTGGTTAAGTTTTTGCATGTAAGCTGGTACCTCCATAACTACTGAAGGGAATGTATTGAAACTTGAAGAGTTTGTACCTTTTCGGACAATTTTATGTATTCATATAGGTAAGCATTATTATACTCAATGAAACACCCTTGTGACAAATTTTCGAATAGTCGAGCGTTACTGTCCTCCGACAGTTCTTGTTAATTCTTTAAAACTTTTTTATGCCCTAAGGTATATAGAAATTAAAATGTTCTACCTGTGGCTTCATTATTTACAAATAATCAAAGTACATGATATTGCTAAGATATATAACTGCGCCATTATTTCCCTTTTCATCACTTTGAAAATAGGACCGTGGTATGGTTATTATATTCCAGCAAGTTAGATAAATCTTAAATTTCTCTGAAGAACTTGACCAATGCCTCAAACACTTGGTGGGAACTGAGTTATTACCCTTGAATAAAAATGTGTTTTGCTCTGTTAATGATTTTTGGGTCTCCTGCTACACAGTAGCTGCAACATTCGATTGGCTATCATGAGGCGACACATGTCATCTTTGTCAATGAATGTTTAACTCTTTCAGCCTGGAACATCTAGCCAAAGCATGACTGATAATGGTACAAGTGGACCTACGAAAAGCAGTAAGAAACAGAAGGAAAAGGTAAGGTTTCACAACCTTCTTTGACAAAGATGTTGATAAAGTTCTAAAAGTTCAAATATGAAGATGTAAATTGGGTATTTAAAGCTTTTTAGCTCACCTGTCACAAATTGACATGGTGACCTTTTGTGATTGCTTTTCGTCCTGCGTCCGGCCGACTGTAAACTTTTACTTTAAACAACATCTCCTCATAAACCGCTTAGGCAATTCATCCAATGTTAACAGGAATGTTCCTTTGGTAGTAAACTTTAAAAATTGTTTAAAGAATTTAATTTCAAGCAGAGCTCTTGAAAAAACTTAAATATCTTCTTTTAGAAAACTGAAAGAGCTAGAGCTTGAATATTTTGCATGAAATATCATCCAGTCAGTGTCTACCAAGTTTGTTCAAATAAATGCCCTGGGGTCAAAATCGGTCCACCCCAGGGGGTCACTGATTTTCTTTATATGTATGTTTTAAAAACTAATGTTTTTACACATGCACTATTTCAGATACAAATATGAACTTTGTGATATAAGTTTTACATTTAGATTTTATAGGAAAATATTGGTTTAAAATTACATTTAGATTTTCTTAATGAGATGTGAACGTTTGATTCTTGCAGCCTGGTACATCTAGCCAAAAGGTGAGTGATAGTGATACAAGTGGACCTGCGAAAAGGGGCAAACAGAATGAAAAGGTAAAGTTTTATTACCTCCTTTATAATTCTTTAAAACTTTTTTATGCCCTAAGGTATATAGAAATTAAACTGTTCTACCTGTGGCTTCATTATTTACAAATGATCAAAGTACATGATATTGCTAAGATATATAACTGCGCAATTATTTTCCTTTTCATCACTTTGAAAATAGGACTGTGGTATGGTTATTATATTCCAGCAAGTTAGATAAATCTTAAATTTCTCTGAAGAACTTGACCAATGCCTTAAATACTTGGTGGAAACATATCTTGGGTGGTCATTTTTATACGCCCATTTGAAAAACGCCCCCTCCCCCCCCCCCCCCTTGCGGGAGGCGGTGTCTAATTTTTGTCTGGGCATATCTCCTTTATGAATGCAGTAATTGAAATGAACCTTCATAGAAATGTTCACTACTATAAGAAGCATACAGGGATTTCAATATAACTTGGTACAAATGTTCATTATTGTGAGGCAGAATGTTGCGTTCAAAATTTAGGTCCATATAGCCAAGGTCAAGGTTACACATAGGAGTCAAAGTTCAGATAAAAATATAAAATTGTGTATTAGGACCATTTAGTCATCATTTATTTAAGGATTGAAACACAAATGGTCATATCATGCCTACTGGTGTGGAACTTGTGCTTTAGGTTAATATGCAATGTCAAAGTCACTAAAGATGATAAAGGTCACTAAAGACGACAAAATATACAGATTTTGTCCAGAGCATATCTCCTACACATATGGTGAGATTCTAATGAAACTTCATAGAAATCTTCACCACTATAAGAAGTAGTGTCACATGCATGAACCTTGTTTCTAGATTAAAGGTTAAGGTCACACTTAGAGGTCATTGAAAAATGCTTGTTCATTGCCGAACTTCTACATTCATCTTGGGATTTTAATGTAACTTGGCACAAATGTTCACCATTGTGAGGCTATTGGAGCACATAATCCATGTCCCTGCCACCAAAGCCAAGGTCACATTGAGAGGTCAAAGTTTGTGTATGTGGACCATTTAGTCATCATTTATTGATGAATTGTAACACAAATGATAACAATCATGACTTTTAGTGTGACAGACACATGTAATTTAGGTTAATATTTTGCAAGGTCATGGTCACTAGAGATGATAAAATATCCAGATATTTTCCAGATATTGCCCAGATCACATCTCCTATATGCATTATCTATAATGCCCACATATTTGTCAAAAGCTTTTGTGACGTGGGTATTTTGCTACAATGTTGCCCTTGTTTCTGGTGGAGTTTAGGGCAGGGCACCTCCACATTGTATAGTGGACCACTGCATTGTACAGTGGACCACTACATTGCTCAGTGGACCTCTCTTCATTATGCAGTGGACCTCTTCACAAGTTATACAGCTATAGATGTTATACAGCTATAGATAATTGACTGCCCAAGGACATGACTTACTTTGTATCTTGTGTAAAACTCTAATGTGAGATCTGAGAAATTTTGGAAAGCTTAGGAAAATTACTGTAAAAAACTTTTTCAGATACATTCATGTATTATGTTTATGCACATTGTATTTTATAGTGGAATTCTTTAAAAGTTTTAAGAACGATTCTGCGTTGGTCAAAAATTGACAAAACCCATTTACCTTCTTCTGCATTTAACAATTCTGACTATTTCTTAATGAATCTCAGGTGAGCTATTTAGGGGCATTAAGGCCCTCTTGTATACATAAAATTTAACAGTTAAGCCAGCAATAATTATTAAAAAAAATACTATTTTCACACAACATTAGGTTGAAGGTTCACGTAAAAGACAGTCTAATGAATTTGGAAAAGATTCACCCAATGGAAAAGTTGCACGAATGGAAGATGTGACCCAACCCAAATCAAAATCAGACACCATGCTAAAGAACAAAAAAGATAAAGAATTGCCACAAGCAACAGTTTCTGATAGTAAGGTACATGTATATGAGATATATTAATTAATGCAATTATGTCACTGCAAGTGCAACAAATTTGAGTGTTCCACAAACAACCATGCTTGTAATACCTGTCTTTGGAAATTAGAGAAACATATTTCTGAAGTCTATTCCAAGCACTTGATCAGCTAAATTTGCTGAATATTGGCTGCAGTTACCAAACTGCTGGTAAGATTTTGACAAAAATTTCACAGGATTGATCAGTACTTACCTTAGTTGTCCATTTTGCCGGCACATTTTCTATCCGGCATAAAATGGCTGCCTTAGCTAAAATAAGAAAAACCGTCCATCTTTCACAATTTAAACTGCTGGTGAAATTTCAACTACAGAAGTGATCAGTACTAACCCTAGTTGTTCACATTGCCTATAAATTCTGCTTCACTAAAAAATGGCCTTATAACTTAATGACTATTACCTGTCACCATATGATTTTTAAGTCATTTTGTCTAATGTCAAGAACACACCTTGCTTTGGTTATAAAAAGAACTTGTATAAATTTGTTGCAGAAGTTAGTCATGAGTAACTTGATAACCTCTATTGATTTTGAGGTCTGTTAATTAAAGGGTATCAGTCATCAAGACCCTAAATTGTGGGTCTAAACTTCTCTATTTAAAGATAAGCCAAAATATTTCAAGAAAAATAAACTTGAGAAAAATGGATTCAGGTTTTAAGAAAAGTAAAAAGGTTTATGATTCAAATAATAATAAGTTACATGTTATATGCAATTAAAGACTGATTTTATAGTATTTTCACCATATTTCTACTGCAATACTAAAGTCTCATTAAGGCATGCTGTGTTAATAGTAAGACATGTTTCTTTCATGGTCAAGACCACAATTTTGATAATTTGTTCATTTTGTAAATCAACAAAAGCATGACAGATATGATACCTTTGGTAAATATTTAAATTTTTAATACACTGATACAGATGATTAGCTGTACACATAAAATCTCTTTACAGAGAGTAGTGCAAGATATGACAGATCAACTGCAGAAGGGAGAAGGTATCATAAATATTTATTTATTTTTATGTTCCCACATAAAAAGTGGGATCAAACTATGATGTGTTCAGTATAACTCATACATACATCACCTTTTTGTCCAAACAACAACTTGAAAAGGAATGAGACATGGTTTAATATACGCACTGAAAAAATTTGGGAGTATACTGTTATGCACCTGGATGTCTGCTAGCAAGTTTTGTGTCTGGTCTGTATCTTTTTAACCTGTTGAAGGAAATTGAAATAACTTGGTAGAAATGTTAACCATAATGAGACAATATGCAGAGCATAGGTTTGACCTTCCTCAGGACAAGGTCATGGTCACACTTAGTCATTTCTGTGTCGCCTCTACGGAGTAGTGGCAACATATAGGGATCACTTCTCCGTCGTCTGTCTGTCGGTCTGTCTGTCTGTCCGCCCTACCGAATAGGGATAGTCGGCCATCTAACTGTAAACAGAACAAAGGAGAACAATAGAGTTCATTCCGTGACGATAGAATAAGGGGCCATTGGCCCTCTATTAAACAATAGAAAATAACAAAAGAAATGAACTTGTCCGGACTACTCCTCATAAACTACTGGTGCAATTTCATCCAAACTTTACAGGAATGATCAGTACCAAGTCTAGTTGTGCATATTGTCAGCATTTTCCGATTCAATGATTTTTGTCAGAGTTATGGCCCTTTAATAATTTTTATTTTTAAAGTTTGTCCAGACTACTTCTCTTATACCACTAATGCAATTTCAATGAAACTTTACAGGATTGATCTCTAGCTCAAGTCCTTGCGCATATTGCACGGGTTTTCCGGTTGAATGATTTTTGGCCGAGTTATGGCCCTTTGATAAAAAGGTGTTTTTTTCTGTGTTGCCAGATACACAAAAGCTTGTCCGGAATACTCCTCATAAACTACTGGTGCAATTTCATCCAAACTTTACAGGAATGATCAGTACCAAGTGTAGTTGTGCATATTGTCAGCATTTTCCGGTTCAATGATTTTTGTCAGAGTTATGGACCTTTAATAATTTTTATTTTTAAAGTTTGTCTGGACTACTTCTCTTTTACCACTTATGCAATTTCAATGAAACTTGACAGGATTAATATGTAGCTCAAGTCCTTGCGCATATTGCACGGGTTTTCCGGTTGAATGATTTTTAGCCGGGTTATGGCACTTTGATAAAAAGGTGTTTTTGTGTCGCCTCTACGGAGTAGTGGCGACATATAGGGATCACTTCTCCGTCGTCTGTCTGTCCGTCTGTCTGTCCGTCCGTCCGTCACAAAACTTGTCCGGACTACTGCTCATAAACTACAGGTGCAATTTCATCCAAATTTTACAGGAATGATCAGTACCAAGTCTAGTTGTGCATATTGTCAGCATTTTCCGGTTCAGTGATTTTTGTCAGAGTTATGGCCCTTTAATAATTTTTATTTTTAAAGTTTGTCCGGACTACTTCTCTTATACCACTAATGCAATTTCAATGAAACTTTACAGGATTGATCTGTAGCTCAAGTCCTTGCGCATATTGCACGGGTTTTCCGGTTGAATGATTTTTGGCCGAGTTATGGCCCTTTGACAAAAAGGTCTTTTTTTCTGTGTGTTGCCAGATACGCAAAAGCTTGTCCGGACTACTCCTCATAAACTACTTGTGCAATTTTATCCAAACTTTACAGGAATGATCAGTACCAAGTCTAGTTGTGCACTGTCCGTCTGTCTGTCTGTCTGTCACAAAATTTGTCCCAACATGAAATTGGCCATCATGAGGCGACACATGTGATTACTGATCGCTCTTGTTTCTGTTAGTTGCCAGATACACAAAACTTGTCCGGACTACTCCTCATAAACTACTGGTGCAATTTTATCCAAACTTTACAGGAATGATCAGTACCAAATCTAGTTGTGCACTGTCCATCTGTCTGTGGGTCTGTCACAACATGAAATTGGCCATCATGAGGCGACACATGTGATCACTGATCGCTCTTGTTTTTATCATTTTCAAAATTTTGTGTCCACTCTTTAAGATATGAAACTTTTGGCTGAAATATTATAATACCCCCACCACAAAATGTGATTCGCTTTGTCCCGTTGGTCGGTCGGTCCGTCCTTCAGTCCGTCTCCATAATCGTGTCCGCTCTAATGGTAGGATTTTCTTCAAACTTGGCTCAAATATTCACCTCAACAAGGGGATTTGCAGAACTAATGTTGCCAATGTGTCAGCTCAAGGTCAAGGTTACAATTGAAGTTCAAATATCAATCAATCAAATATTAGACAGTATGTTGTGTCCGCTCTGTAAGTCCTACACTAATTGAAAGATTTTCTTCAATCTTGGCTCAAATGTTAACCTCAACAAGGTAATGTGCAGAACCCATGTTACCCTTTTGCCGGCTTAAGGTCAAGGTCACACTTGAAGGTCAAACATTGACTTTGAAAATATTCTTAAATTTTAACATGTATTTGAATATTTCTGAAAATAGAAATTGTATTTGCTTGAAACTTAAAATATATATGAAGTGTCACAATTAAGATATGCAGGTCAAGTTTCATAACTCTGTATTGCATTTTGACAAAGTTATGCCCCTTTTTAGCTCGACTATTCGAAGAATATGAGAGCTATTGTAGTCGCGTCGGCTTCAGCGTCCGTGTCGGCGTTGGTTAAATATTTTGGAAATTCAAATATCTCAATTGTTGCTTGATATATTCAATTGAAACTTACAATACTTATTTATAGTAACAATGTTCATCAGATTGACAAGTTGGATAACTCTGCCTACAATATTGACAGAATTATGCCCCTTTTTAATTTAGAAACTTTGGTTAAAGTTTTTTGTAAAGTCCAGTATCTCAATTATTGCTAGAGATATTCAATTGAAACTTACAATATTTATTATGCCCCCATTTTGAAGAAAAGGGGGTATATTGCTTTGCACTTGTCGGTCCGTCGGTCTGTCGGTCCGTCGGTCCGTAGACCAAATGGTTTCCGAGTGATAACTAAAGAACCCTTAGGCCTAGGAACTTCAAACTTGGTATGGTGATTGGTCATGACCAGTAGATGACCCCTATTGATTTTGGGGTCAAGGGGTCAAAGGTCAAGGTCACATTGACCTTGTAAGCAAAAACGGTTTCCGATCAATAACTAAAGAACCTTAAGGCCTAGGAACTTCAAACTTGGTATGGTGATTGGTCATGATCAGTAGATGACCCCTTTTGATTTTGGGGTCAAGGGGTCAAAGGTCAAGGTCACATTGACCTTGTAAGCAAAAACGGTTTCCGATCAATAACTAAAGAACCTTAAGGCCTAGGAACTTCAAACTTGGTATGGTGATTGGTCATGATCAGTAGATGACCCCTATTGATTTTGGGGTCAAGGGATCAAAGGTCAAGGTCACATTGTACTTGTAGGTAAAAACGGTTTCCGATCAATAACGAAAGAACCCTTAGGCCTAGGGACTTCAAACTTGATATGGTGATTGGTCATGATCAGTAGATGACCCCTATTGATTTTGGGGTCAAGGGGTCGAAGGTCAAGGTCACATTGACCTCTTAGGTAAAAACGGTTTCCGATCAATAACTATAGAACCCTTAGGCCTAGGAACTTCAAACTTGGTATGGTGATTGGTCATGACCAGCAGATGACCCCTATTGATTTTGGGGTTAAGGGGTCAAAGGGCAAGGTCACATTGACCTTGTAGGTAAAAATGCTTTCCGATCAATAACTTAAGAACCCTTAGGCCTAGGAACTTCAAACTTGGTATGGTGATTGGTCATGACCAGCAGATGACCTATTGATTTTGGGGTCAAGGGGTCAAAGGTCAAGGTCACATTGACCTTGTAGGTAAAAACGGTTTCCGATCAATTAACTAAAAACGCTTAGGCCTAGGAACTTCAAACTTTGTATGATGATTGGTCGTGACCAGCAGATGACCCCTATTGAGTTTTGGGTCAAGGGGTCAAAGGTCAAGGTCACATTGACCTTGTAAGTAAAAACGGTTTCTGATCAATAACTTAAGAACGCTTAGGCCTAGGAACTTCAAACTTGGTATGGTGATTTGTCATGACCAGCAGATTACCCCTATTGATTTTGGGATCAAGGGGTCAAAGGTCAAGGTCACATTGACCTTGTAGGTAAAAACGGTTTCTGATCAATTAACTAAAAACGCTTAGGCCTAGGAACTTCAAACTTTGTATGATGATTGGTCGTGACCAGCAGATGACCCCTATTGAGTTTTGGGTCAAGGGGTCAAAGGTCAAGGTCATGACCAGTAGATACTTGATAACCCTTATTAATTGTTTGATCACTGGGTCAGAAGTCATGCATAATAACCTTATCACATGACTAATTGGCTGCTGATAGGGGGCATACATGTTTTACAAACATATCTTGTTTAAAGTAACAATGTACATCAGATTGACAAGTTGGATAACTCTGCCTATAATATTTACAGAATTATGCCCCTTTATAACTTAGAAATTTTGGTTAAAGTTTTTTTGTAAAGTCAAATATCTCAATTATTGCTTGAGATATTCAATTGAAATTTACAATACTTTTTTATATTAACAATGTACATCAGTTTGCAAAATTGCATAACTCTGCCTGCAATATTTGCAGAAGTATTTGCCAATTTGAAACTTAGAATTTTTGGTTAAAGGTCTTCAAAGATATTTACTTGAAACTTTACACATGTACTTAGGGTCATAATTGGAGGGTCATAATTGTATGTCACTGACCAAGTTCCATAACTCTACTCGCATTTAGGCTGATTCATCTCCCATTTTCTACCTAGTCTCTTGGTTAATGTTTACATGCAAGTTTTACATATCTCAATAACTATTAAAGATATTTATTTAAAACTTCACATATGCATTTAGAATCATAATTGTAGGTCACTGACTAAGATCCATAATTCTTTCTTGCATTTAGGCTGATTTTTCTCCCCTTTTTCAACTTAGAAATTCATGGTAAGTTTTGCTTGTAAGCTGTTATCTCCATAACTACTGAAGAGTTTGTGCCTTTTTTGGGACATTTGTATGCATTCATAATAATAAAGCAGTGATTTACTTGATAAAACATCTTAATAACAAGCCTTTGTAGCTTTTCGGTCAATTTTATGTATTCGTAGGTAATTAGCATTATTATACTCCATAAAACACCCTTGTGACAATTTTTGAATAGTCGAGCCAATACTGTCCTCCGACAGTTCTTGTTAAGTCTTCAAATTTACATACAATCAAATATTAGACAATATGTCGTTTCCGCTCTATAAATCCTATACTAATGGAAGAATTTTCTTCAAACTTTACTCAAATGTTCACCTCAACAAGGTTATGTGCAGAACCTATGTTACCTTTGTGTCGGCTTAAGGTCAAGGTCTCACTTGAAGGTCAAAAATTGACTTACAAAATTTTCCGAAATTTTTATGTACTTGAATATTTCTAAAACTAGAACAGATAATCATTTGAAACTTCAAATATATACGAAGTGTCGCAAGTAAGATATGCAGGTCAAGTTTCATAACTAAAAAAAGTGGGGGGGGGGATAAGTCCATTTTTATGTCTTTAAATTTATTTACTATAATATTTCTTAAACCAGAACAGATGTTTACTTGAAACTTAAAATTTATATGAATGGGTACCAGCAAGCTCAGATGATTCCATTGATTAATGACACAAGTTATGCCCCTTTTAGGCTTAGAAAATGTTCTGATATATTAATTTAATACTTAAATGTTCCTGAAACTATAACAGATATTCACTTGAAACTATATAATATATGAAGGGTCACAAGTAAGCTGAGTTTGCAAAGTTTTTCCACTTTTAATTACATTTTGACATAATTATGCTATTTTCTTAACTTCACTGCTTTTGTTTGTTTTAGTACATCGGAAAAATGAAAGGTTATTTGTAACTGTTTCGAACATGATTTGACAATATATATTTATAATATTACCCGTTAAATTTGTCTTTTTTTTCACCAGAGATAATTTCTTTTTATGTGTATGTATTTGTGCCACTAAAGTTATTCCCTTAACCACCTTTCCAAGTCGTCTTCTGTCAAGGACATTGGTTGGGGTATGAATCGCATTCAGCGATAGTTCTAGTTTGTAATTGTTTTCTTTTTCAGGTGATATAAGCTATGAAAAAGGAGACATGAACGGTGACTTGCACAGCAAAAAATCATTTGGACAATTGATAGACGTACATGGACATGTCGAAACTGTACTAGATATAAGGACCAAGTTGGAGGCTTCAAAGTCTGTATGTAAAATAGTCCAGGGTAATTATACGGCCACAGGGTTCCGTGTTGGATCTAGATATATCATGACGGCTGCTCATGTAACAAAGACATTTCAGCAAGGTAGGTTTTATCTGAAAATTAGCTGTCATATGATATATGCGATGTCACTAATTTGATTAATGTCATGCAATTTCATGTATTGATAATGCCAAATAAGCATGTATTACTATATTATATGAATAACTATGTCAGTGCCTCCAGTTCTTTGATTTTTGTAGCATAATCATGGAAAATTGACATTGTTGTCACAATGGAGTTCTTAGGTCAAAATGAGATGATGGTGCAATTTTGCCTGTCCATGATCAAGTAGAAATACACCATAGCTTAAAATGTAAAAGCAGTGAACTTATAAGCAATATATGATGTCAATTTCAAACTCCAAAATAATGTCCATTTTAGCTATGCAAAATTCACAAATACGAGTCCAAAATATTTATGAATGACCTAATTTCAGTAGCAGGTTGTAAGTATGTCTCCAAAATTTTTTGGGAGACATATTGTTTTTTGCCTTAGCAGTCTGTCCATCCATCCGAATTAAGCTTCAACCAAACTTTACAGGATTGATCAGTACCATCCCTAGTTGTGCACATCACCGGCACATTCCGCTTCGCTGCACAAAATGGCCGCCATAGCTAAAAATAAAAAAAATCTTTTCCGGCCTTCACAGGTCAAGCTACTGGTGGGATTTCAACCAAACTTTTCAGTAGTGATCTGTACCATCCCTAGTTATGCACATTAACGTTCTGCTTCGCTGCACAAAATGGCCTCCAGAGCTAAGGATAGAAAAATCTTGTCCAGCCTTCACAGCTCAAACTACTGGGATTTCAACCAAACTTTACAGGAGTAATCAGTACCATCCTTAGTTGTGCACATCACAGGCACATTCCGCTTTGCTGCACAATGTGGCAGCAATAGCTAAAAATAGAAAATTTGAAAATTCTTGTCCGGCCTTCACAGTTGAAATAACGGGAGGGATTTCAGCCAAACTTTACAGGAGTGATAAGAACCATTCCTAGTTGTGCACATCACCAGCATGTTCCGCTTTGCTGCACAAAATGGCCGTCAGAGCTAAAAATAGAAAAATCTCCGGCCTTCACAGTTCAAACCACTGGTGGGATTTCAACCAAACTTTACAGGTGTGATCAGTACCATCCCTTGTTGTGCAGACTACTTGCATGTTCCGCTTCGCTGCACAAAATGGCTGTCAGAGCAATAAATAGAAAAATCATGCCCAGCTTTCACAGGTCAAGCTATTGGTGGGTTTTTAACCAATCTTTACAGTAGTGATCAGTACCATCCCTAGTTGTGCTCATTAACGGCACGTTCCGCTTCGTTGCACAAAATAGCTAAAAATAGAAAAATCTTTTCCGGCCTTCAAAAGTTAAACTACTGGTCGGATTTCAACCAAACATTTCAGGAGTGATCAGTACCATCCCTAGTTGTGCATATTACCGGCATGTTCTGTTTTGCTGCACAAAATGGCAGCCAAAGCTAAAATAGAAAAATCTTGTCCGACCTTCACAGGTCAAACTACCAGTGGGATTTCAACCAAACTTTACAGGAGTGATCAATACCATCCCTAGTTGTGCAGAATACTGGCATGTTCCGCTTCGCTGCACAAAATGGCCGTCAGAGCAATAAATAGAAAAATCTTGCCCAGCTTTCACAGGTCAAGCTACTGGTGGGATTTCAATGAAACTTCACATGAGTGATTATACATAGTTTTGGGAGACATATGTTTTTGTGACTAAAACCCTTCTTGTTTTCATGTATTTTAAACATGTGAATATTTGGTGTACTTTCAGGACTGAAGTTCGAAATACAAACTTATGCAGTTTTCAACTACATAAAAGATGGTATTTTGGAAGAGGAAAACAAATTCTTTTTTAAAGAAGTGGTATATACAGATCCAGAATTGGACATTTCTGTAATAGAACTGATAGAAAGCTCACACCCATTTCCACCTCCTTTTACAGCATTTGATCAGCCTTCCCTAGATAGTTGTTTCCATTTGATAGGTCATTCTCAAGGAAGTGTTATGTCAATAAATCCAGTGACAAAAATCATTAACATTAACAATCCAGGAGTAAGAGATCAGCTAGAACAACTGCAAAAATTAAGCTATGAATATACAGGAAAAAGCTATGACGATCTGCCACATAACACATTGTATAATCCACATCGGTTTTTATTTCAATGTAAGTTTACCCAAGGTGGAAGTGGGTCACCAGGGGTAGTTCTTATTGATGAAAAAGTGATTGTAACAACAGTTTTGTTGTACGGCTACCCAGACTGGTGCTATAATCAATCCATGGAAAGTTATAAAATGAACTGGCCACTGGACTACTGTATAGAACAAGGAGTAAATATGATGTCTGTACGTAAGAAAATGCTGCAAACAAATCTAGCCTTGTGTATCAATATATTTGGGCAGACCGTACAGCAGTAAAGGAGAATATTACTCCTTACATTAAAGCTGCATTTAATAAATTACATAAAAACAGAAGAAATATTGACATTTCATTAAAAAATTGGGTTTCATATGGACTCAAGATCTTATTATTTCCAGACAACCAAAATGAGTTTTATAATCATAAAAATCTGCAAGCTCATAGTGGCGAAATCAGAAGTTCAATTTCTGTTTACATGAGAAACTCCACCTTCGGATAATCCTTACATCAATATTAAATCAACAGACATGGCTACAAGTAGTAGTTCTAATTTAACAGTATATTTCCGCATTGTAATGGACGTTTTCATTCAAATTTGATCTTTTTTATAAGATAATTACTTTTTTTCTGAACGCCACCAGGCGTAATGCACCGTGATACTAAAACGGTTAAAATGTGTTTGCACAAGAAAATCTCATATTTGTTGTGTTCCGAATAGCAACTATAACACTGTGACATAGAGCATACACAAGCTGATTATAGTCTTCATTTGCATGTTAAAATTCATATACTAACTTTAGTGTTACCGTGGGTTTTTATGTTAAGAACAATATTTGATGAGATTTACAACAATACTATTAAAAAGGTAAATGAAACTGTAGAATGCTTGGTTTTTAGGCTGACAGCAAAATAATATGTTTGCATATTTATTAATTGCAGCTTTAATGTAATACTTTTAAGTATAGGTTAAAGTTTATTAGTACGTATTTACAAAATTAAATTGGTCAGGTGTGGCATGGCTGCACTACCAATTAAATTTTGTAAATACGACTAATAAATTTTAACCTGCTTAGTGTTTTAAATTATTTTATAAACAGTATGTTAACAAGACGAATTCACAGTTTGCCGATTTACCAAAGTAAAAGTGTTATGATTAATTTGAAATTCTGCAATCCTATTGGACAAAAAATAATTTCAAACACTAAGAGTTATAAAGCTAAATGTTATGCTGCAAAAATCATTGTTTGGATTTTTAACAAAGAATACTTCCAAAATGCTTGTATGAAGTAAATTTGGTGGTAAATTGACTTAAAGGGAATAACACATACATCAAAATATTTATCATATGTAGTGACAACCTTAATATTAAATTTCTACACTTTGAAAATTTACTAGTGTGGAGCCTGGACACATTAAAAAGCTCAAGTATAACATCTTAAGAATTGTATTAGATATGAACCATTATGAAATGCATGAATCTTTTATTAAAGTATTTCTTTGTTAATTGCTTAAAGCTGTTACTTTAGACTTGAAATAAATGTGAAATTTTACGTTTAGGATATAAGAATATTAACGAGATGCTTAAATGTTTACATAAGTATTGCAATAACAGTATTAATGTTTAAATGTGTTCAGAAGTAAATCCAGTGATATGAAGTTTGATCTCCCACTTCTCCAACCAAACTTAAATATTCTTTCGGATAAGACCTTAAAAAAACGATGTCATATTATTTTTTTATTGTCTAACAAAGATTGATTGCATAATTTAAAAGAAATAACGTTTATATTTTGCTTTGTTAACATTTTCATATGATTTGTGTTTCTGCAATTATAAATTAAGCAATGAAAATACCATGCATTTTGTTAACATTTGACTATGATATGATTTTGGAATGTGCCTTGCATTTGATATACATGTATTTGAATGATTATATTTTGTATAATGATGAATTTTGTACAAGTCAGAATAAAGTTTCTGTTCTGTTTTAGTGCCCCCACTATAGGGGGAGGGGGGCATTTAGATTTACCCTTGTCTGTCCGTCCATCCGTTCCCTTTTTGTGTCGCACATTATGACATAGCTCAAAAAGTAATTGACCTAGAGTCATGAAACCTTACAGGAATGTTGATAGCATGAGAAGTTGTGCACCTGGGTATTTTCATGTGGATATATTTAGTATTTTTAGAGTTATTGCCCTTGACTTAGTAAAATTTTCCAATTTTCAACTTGTGTGGCATGTCACTCAGAAAATATTTGACCTAGAGTCATGAAACCTTACAGGAATGTTGATCAGCTTGTGTAGTTGTGCTCCTGGGTATTTTTGTGTGGATATATTTAGTATTTTTAGAGTTATTGCCCTTGAATTAGTAAAAATTTCCAATTTTCAACTTGTGTCGCACATAACTAAAAAGGTATTTGACCTAGAGTCATGAAATCTTACAAGAATGTTGCTCAGCATGTGTAGTTGTGCACCTGGGTATTTTCGTGGGATAGTTATTGCCCTTGACTTAGTAAAAATTTTCAACTTGTGTCACATGTAACTGAAAAAATATTTGACCTAGAGTCATGAAACCTTACAGGAATGTTGATCAGCATGTGTAGTTGTGCTCTTGGGTTTTTTCATGTGGATATATTTAGTATTTTTAGAGTTATCACCCTTGAATTAGTTAAAATTTAGACTTGTGTCGCAAGTTACTAAAAAATTATTTGACCTATAGTCATGAAACCTTACAGGAATGTTGCTCAGCATGTGTAGTTGTGCACCTGGGTATTTTCGTGTGGATATTTTTAGTATTTTTAGAGTTATTGCCCTTGACTTAGTAAAAATTTACAATATTTAACTTGTGTTGCACGTAACTCAAAAAGTTTATGACCCATTGGCCTGAAAGTTTACAAGAATGTTGGTCAGCATGTGTACTTATACACCTTGGGGTTTTCTTGTTGCTTTATTCAGTATTTGTAGTATTTGCCCTTTACTTAATAAAAGATTTTTAGTTTTCAACTTGGGCACATGTACTATGTAGCCAAAAAAAATATTTGACCTAGAGACATAAGATTGACAAATCGGTGGAGTGTGGGAGCACCCGTGTCCTATGGACATATTTCTAGTTTTTTATGGGATGAAATAATTTTTTAATTACGGTGCTACAATTTCTATAGTGAGTCGCCTGAATGATTTCCATTGGGGACTATAATAAATTAAAGTTGTGTATTTACATGTACAAGTATGTGAAATTTTACAGATAAACATTTATAACCTTATTTTTATTGCTATATGTTTTTATTATGATTTTGTTGTGAATTTTGAAGACATTTATGTTCAGTTTGTTTAAATATATCAACATTTTATGTTTAGTTCTTTTATGTTTAAAATGCACCATCCTGGTGGGGTTTTTTGAACTCCTGTTTATCAACCAGAAAATAGTGTTAAATAGGATGTTCATACTAATTCATTTAAGAAATATTTCATGAGAATATTCAAATTATACATTTTTATTATATTTTTTTTTATCAATATTTTGTAATACTTTTGGAAAACATGTCCATTGTAGACCAATCCACTTTATTTGCATTTTACATAATTATGACCTTTCATTGCCTAAGTAAATGTCTTGAAATTCATATTTACTTAAACAGGTAAATATTAACACAAATTGTAAGCTAAGTTTCTCAATTATTAATTACATTTTGACATAGTTATGCCCCTTCTTAATATTTTGTAGGCTTTTTGTCTCAACTTGTTTTTGTAAAAAGTTTTATAATCAAATTTTGATGTCTTTCAAATTGTCATCTTTATAAGGTTAAATGTATATACTAAGTATAATTGTGTTCAAATTGTGTTCAAGGACCAGTTTATATATGCATGTATAGAAAATTAAAACCTCTTATCAGATTTGCAGTGATATTGCAGCAATTTGAAAATGAATCAATAAAATTGTATACTAAGTATCTTGGTTTGCTTTATTATATAATATTATTTAACCTTGAGATATTTTATATAACATTTATTACGAGAGCATATTTCTACTAAGTAGTGGCATAAGATTTGATCCTTGGAATGCTTTTCAAAATAATTATGTATACAACCTGCATGCAGAGATATTACTATTTTATGGCATATTGTTACTAGTATTCTTTGTTGGGGTCGCAGGTGAAGGTTTTCCAATGTCTATGGACTTTCTTCGTACATCCATCTTTCTGGCATAATATATACATGTATATATATATCCCAAATATAATTGAGATAAAAAAAAAAAGATCAATCATCTATGAAGCAGACTTAAAGTACACTTCTATGGTTTTATAAAAAATATTGCCATATAAATAAGTGCTACATATATATGTGTATAAACGGGGGGGGGGACTTTTTGGCCAGAATTGGTAAATGATTAATTTAAACTACTTATTACAAAGAAATTTTAAATGCACGTGTTTGAACTATACATGTATATGCAATCAAACATTAATTATAACATTATATATATTTGAAAATTAAAAAAAAAAAAATAGATGTTATGTTGTATGGATGATAACAAGATTCAAACTATTCTACTAGTTATTCTGACTATTTAATACATGTTGTTAAGACCAGAGTTCAGGGCTCAAAATACAGTCGGTTACAGTGATCTCCCCTGATTACATTGCAAATAGGGTAAGGGTTCAAAGGGGGATGACTGTTTCTCTAAAAATAGTGTCGGTAAGAATACACATTTAATAGAAGTTGAATATCTTTCTTTATTAAATAGCAATGACAAAAAGTTATAATTGTTTTTACAAGATATGCGTCTTCGTGCTTAAGTAGATGTTATTGCATGAAGAAAGATGCATTGGCCTTTTATTATTGCATAAAAACTGCGCACTACATGCTTTAAAGATCCTGTAACACAATTTTTTTATGATTTTAAATCATAAATATGATGCTCAAATTTAGATTTATCAATATTTTAGGTTTCAAAAAGCATTATTTATAAAGATATCACCGAATTTAACATTTCATGTAAATAAAGGGAGGTAATAAAATATTTATTTTCTATAAAGTTTAAGTCAAATTTTACAATAAGAAATGAATGCACATATTTTAATGATTACATATAATATGCACAAATATTTGCAGTACATATTTTACATATTCTTCGATGTTTGAAAATTGTTTTATTTTGCATAATTATGTACATACAGTATATATATAATTTCACTTAGTGTGATTATGATTACTTGTGCTGGGTCTCTGTGGCCGAGTGGTTAAGGTCGCTGACTTAAGATCACAGGTCCCTCACCGCTGTAGGTTCGATCCTCACTCGGGTCAAAATCTTTCATGTGAGGAAGCCATACTGCTGGCTTACGGAAGGTCGGTGGTTCTACCCAGGTGCCCGCTCGTGCCTAAATTAAGGCCCGGAGGGGCACCTGGGGTCTTCCTCCACCAATAAAGATGGAAAAAAATCTCGGCGGGACGCTCTAGGATGGCCCGACTTGTGTGTACGGTCGCCCATGTGGGCTTTCCGGCGGCGACCTTAAATAAACGCATTAAAAAAAATTATGATCACTAAGATCAAAACATACAGGATATTCAACAGATAGATTATGTACGTTGTCCATGCACCGTTGTTGAACTGTTTTAATATGCGTGAATCCGGGCCCAGTATGGAAACAGCTTAATTCGATGGCGGCCCGGTAGCTTTATTATCAAAACATAAATCGTCAAATGACGTTTCACTGGCACATGGCAAGTATCGAACAAGCAGTGGATTTTTTGTATACAAATGACGATGGACGTATAGACCTTTTTACAATACCATACCGATGTTGCATTTCGCGCATGCGCATTCTGCGTAGGGCAAAAGCGCAGTAAAATTGAGAACAGTGTATGATACTTTTATGCTTTAATAGTCGTGATTCTATGTTATGTCATCCAGAAAACAGTAATTTTGGAATGACTTAAAGCGGTAAGTACTTAAAACGTTAATTGATATTTATAACAGATATAATAAATATGCGGGACTAATAATCCAATGGTCAAAAGGCGCACACAAAAGTCGTGTGTTTAAGGTATCATTAGATTATTTAAATTTAAACAGCAGCGTGTTAAAGATTAAATTTCATTACCCCTGTATTGCATAATATTACACAATGTGTATTGTACACTTCCTTTTGGATTGGCCAGGCGGTAAGTGTCAAACAGATTGACACGCGGCACTGTTGTTTGTTTCCAGCTATAATATCATTCAACCGGGACGTTTCAGTACCATGACATAGTTAATCACGTACAGGTATGAAAATCGTAATTTAAGTAACATTTTTATATATACCGATCTCATCAATGTTTATTGATTTTGAGAAGTGGCAATTAGTGTGACTTGCATTAAAAATATTAACAGGTGTTACGAGGAACCGGATAAAATGTGTGTTATTTCACTTTCCTTTTAGATTTTGAAAAAAAATTAACTATTTAAAATATATTTATGTGACATAAAAATTATCTGCTTTGCATCATAGTCAAATAAAGGATAAAATCAGGTAAACTGATCTCTGAAAATGCATTATCACCGTGTCTGTTCTGACTTTTTTCAGAATAATAATTAACCTCGATTTCATGTGTTATAAAATTTATTTTATCTTTTTTATGAACTATTTGAACAACAATTTAGTTGACTCCAATTTGATCAATAGATATAATTCCACATTTTCTTAAAAAAAATCTCAATGTCAGGTCCCTGACCGTAAGGGGGAATTCTTAAACAATTTGCTTTTCCATGCCTTTGTATCGCAATCTTGGCCACAAAGCTGTAAAGGAATCTTTTCTATTTTTGTTAAAAGCTAATTTACATAATTTTTTACTTTAAACTAATTCGGAATTTTCTATGAACTTCTTCTATATTTCTATGTTATGCATTTTTTGCCCTACGCAGATTGCGCATGCGCGGGAAAATACTACTTCCGATCGATTTTTCATAGCAACGGACCGCGTCGTAAAAAGGTATATACGTTGTTTTTATGTTATATTTATGTTTATGCAAGAATAGTGCTAATGCACCTTTTTACGTGATTAACATCTGCAAAAGCCCATTTACCCTCTATTGATATAATTTTTTCGGATTTCTTTGTTTTGCACGTGTTCAATAACAGTCTGTATTGGCACTTCGGTAAGTAGGAAATGAGTGCGGATACGAGATTTTTCGTAATATTCCTCGAACTATTTTTCAATAAGTTTCAATTCATCTAAGTTAGCGGCATATGCAATTCAATCGTAGTTATTGCCTGTTCAAGTGCTTATGTTTACCACAGATTTATATTAATAATAACCGTGTGTTTACTTAGATTTTCATCCTCTTTTATTGCAGTTCCAGAAGAAATCGGTAAAGGTCCTTATGAAATGAGTTTATGCATATCTGTATTGAAAGATGGAAGTGTTCCCGATAGATCTGTAAGAGTCCATATTGTCGGCAATTATGCCCACATGTAAAACCTCTTTAGTTAAAAGGCTCGTAAAAGCAAAGACAAAAGGTACAAAAAGTACAGATGGGATTGATATACTAAGGCTGCGTTCAGCGGATTTACTTCTACAAACAAGAGAGCCTGAAATATAATCTGAGTCGGGAGATAAAAGCGCAACGTTCAGTGTGGAAAGTATGTTTGATGGTGGGGACACGTCAATCAACTATGATCTATGCGATTTCGGCGGACAGTACGTCTTTTATGCGACACATGCACTCTCTCACAGTAACAGGGCAATTTATGTTTTAGTAATAGACTTGACAAAGAAATTCGATACAATCGTACGAGATACAAGTCACCCTAACGAAACGGGTAACAGAAACGTAGAATATTTTATAAAATTTTGGATGAATTCTATTCATTCGTTCGCTGGATCATAAGAGGGATTTGAGCCACCAGTAATTCTAGTCGGCACACATATTGATAAAGTTCGAGGATTCAGAAGAAGATCTAAACTCAGACGCGCTGAAATATACTTTGAAGATGTGAGGCGTCTATTTGATGGAACGCAAATTTTAAATCATTTTCACAAAAAAGACTTTGCTGTTAATAATCGCAAACGACATGATATTGTCATAGATGTACTACGAGAAGAGATAATGGACATTGGACGTCCAAAGACAAGAACCGTTGAAATACCAACACGATGGGTAGATTTAGATCATAAATTGAAATATGTTACACAAAAAGTGATAACAATTGGAAAAATACAAACATTAGTATCGGAGAATGCTTTTCAAACGATGTCTGTAGGGGAACTAAAACTTTTCCTGCAATACCAGCATGCTAAAGGGACCCTTTTTTATTTTGATAGAGATCCAATTGCAGAGTACGTCGTGTTAGATCCGCAATATCTGATTGATGCATTTAAATGTATCATTACTTCTGAAAGATTCTGCCGAAAGAAACCTACAATCAGACCTCTTTGGAAAAAACTAATTTCTACAGGAAGGCTTGGCATGGAATTGATTGTCAACGTTTGGGGAGGAAATGAAGGATTCATTGATGACAAAGACATTCTTTTAGAATACCTGAAGAGTCATCATATAATTTCAGAAGCAAAACAATATAATGAAGATATTGATAAAGCTCGCGGTCTTGGTTGGTTTGTCGTGCCAAGTCTTCTGAAGGTTCATCGTACACAGTCCGAGTTGAATGATTATTTAACGGACAAAGTACCTGTACACGTCAGATTTGTGCTTGGTTTTGAATTCTCGTCTGTTGTGCAGTTGTTGTTCCACCGGCTTGTAGCTGCAGCGCTTGGGCGATGGTCTATCGCTAATTTTTTAAAGGGGGATCTTATGATGTACGAAAACCTCATTATCTTCAGATTAAACATTAACCACCTTGGCATAATAGAAATAAACGACAACTTGATAGAACTTACGGCATTCAACTTGTGCCCGGACAGGAAGATAGAAGCACATATAGTTGATAGTTTTAGAAGATTCGTAGAAAATGTTATTTCGCGAGAATTTGTTGCTTTGCAGGTCAGTGACGAACAGAAACGGACAATGTATACATCTTACTACAGGTGTAAGCATGCATGCCACTCACTGAATGGAAGCAAGCATCTCCAGAATATATCTCATCTGACCAAGAATACAATATACCCATGTCCGGACTCACTGGCCCATGAGATAGATACGTCAACTGCTAGATCCGAGTGGTTTCAAGAAGATAAAATATCAGGTTGTAACTCAAACAAGGTGTTAACAGATAAAGAGCTGAGTCGAATTGCACAAGCAATAGGGATGAACTGGCAATTCCTGGGGTTAGAACTGGGACTGACAAGTGTTCAAATAGACCATATAACCGAAGACAATGCACACAGTGTTGCGATGCGCATTTATAAGATGTTATTGCAGTGGAAAAGTTGCGATACAATCAACGCTACTATGAATAACTTTGTAAAGGTTTTGCAAACATGTTCTAACGTGAATGTGGAATGGGATGAAATCAGAAATATCGTGGATGATTTGAATATGGAGATAGAATGACATTAGTATGAAGTTAGAGTAACATTAACATATAATTTATATCTCCGGAAGTAAAAACTTTGTGTATTTTCTTCAGATGCAATACTCAGTATTGACTCATTTAAGAATTATAACATAATCGATGGCGGATCATTCATAGAAGTATTACTTACCAGTATATCTAATTAATGCTCACAGTAATTGTTACACATATACAGTTATTTATTGATGTATGGGTGTAACATTGCCCTCTTTGTTGTACATGTATATAAGTATATTTTTTCTTACAATGGCCTTGTAAATTACTGAAAGCTAAAGAAACTTTTTTTGATAATCTACAGAGATCGTAAGTTAATTTAGATATGAACCATAAATTGGTGTCACATATGTAAATGATTTAAGAGTTTCTTTTGATTTAGATATGAATCATAAAATGGTGTCACATATGTAAGTGATTTAAGAATTTCTTTTACAATTTTTGCAAAGCAACTGCCTTCGGGAGGTAAAGAGTTTGACTTATGAGTAGGTGCTCTAGAGAGGTTAAAGAAGCTTCAATGAAGTCAAAAAAGCATAAAACCTAAAACGTTGAAATTCTTACATAGATCAAGTTAAGATCTTAGAATGGGAAAATCTGCATCTGAATATTCATGAATTTTGTGCAATTCTTAGCCCGATTTCAGTTAAAAGCGTTGCAAGACTTTTCATTTTTGGGTCTTTTTGCTAAAGATATATGTTTATTCTGATAAAACGGGGTTAGGGACTAATCTGAAAAATTACATACAAGTTATTGGTCCTGATCTACATCAAATAGTAAAAAATATATCTTGGAAAATTATTTCCAGTCTCTTCTTATCAAAACCTCGGTGATTTCCCTTTAAATTCAGTGTTAAATCATAGTTTTGGAAAATTTGATTCTGTTGTTAAAAAAGTTATTGTTCAAGAAGGGGTTCGCTTCACTTTTTTGTATATATCAACTATGTTTGACCAGCTTCTTACGAATATAAATTGTATGTCAAAAAGTAATAAATAAATAAAATAATCAATTATTCTCCTGAAAATGATTCGTTTTAATTAAATACTTCTGTAAAAGCAAGTAATTCTGATGAATCATCAAGGTAAATGAATCCATAAATGAAATAATAAGCCTTTGAAAATACGACAACAAAAACTACAATTCAAATAGCTTAGATATTTGGCATGTAGCATTTCTCACAAAACTGCAATCCCTAGAGCTTAGTTATTTTGCCTTGTTGACCTCTTTAAAATTGATATATAAATCATGACCCTGGAGTTAATAGTTGCACAAATCCCGGGGGTATAAATCATGACCCTGGGGGTTAATAGTTGCCCAATCCCGGGGTCACAATAAAGGAAAACTTCTTTAAGTCTTATCGTATGAAACTAAAATACCCAGGCATGTAGCATTTTCTTATAGGCCTTCACAAAACTGTCCTTGGATTGATGAGTGATCCGCCGCAGATGTCACATAAAGTTATGTAGACTTATATAGAAAAAAAAACATTTAAGTCTTATATGTGTGAAACTACAATGACCAAGAGCTAAGATATTTAGCATTGCCTTGCTTTCTTTACGTACTGTGCTTAGAGGAGGGTACTCGTGCATTAAAAAATTGCAAGAGAGGGTACATGCCATTTAAAAGATCAATAGCAAAGAGGTAGCCCGTGCCGCTGCAAAACCGAAAGTAATAGGGTGTTTTTATGATTTCACAACTATTTTTGACTAATAACTGCCATTGTTCCGAAGATGATACATAAATGAACATATGTTATATGTATGATGCATATATAATCAATCCAATAGTTTCATTTAAGCCTGAAAAATATGTCGAGGCAGTGAGTGATGCAAGAAATGTCGACTTTATGTCGACTTTATGTAGCTTATTGTTGCGGTTGCAATAATTGAAAAATGGACACACTACAAAAAAAGCACATAGATAAAACATTCTTTTGCACATGACATATCTCCTTTCATCAGCTGGAGGAACATTAGCTGGATTGATAATCCATCGAACTTGGTTTGTTTTCAGCAAAGAATAGCCTATGCATGTGCAAAAAGGGTACCGTTTGAGTATATTTCGCAAAGATGGTATACCAATATGGATATACACTGTGCTTGAGGAGCTCGGGCAAAACTGATTACTAATCATGCCCCGGGTGTAAATATTGGCCCGCTACGTTGTTGCCTGATTTAATTACACTTATACAGGAAAATAAATTTAATTCTTCTTGAGTGAAAACTTAACCCAGTGCTTAGATATTCGGCGTGTAGTATCAGTTTGTAGATTTCTAAAAGTTGCGTTAATCATGACCTTCAGGTCAAAATTGGCATTGACTCGGGAGTCACTTGCTTTATGCAGACAAAGGTATAGGAAAAAAATATTTCATCTATTTTTTGGAAAACCCAACCCCTGGCCCCCTATATTGAGCATATACCATTTTCTAGTTTGATCTCTGTAAAATTCTAAAAAAATGCCTCTTTGGGTAAAAATGCCCAAACCCTTTGGGGATCTATTGTATCATTTTTTGAATCAGTTTTATTACAAAAATTTTCCCAAAAATTCTTTTGGGTCTTTTTCCCAAATTTTAAAGGTAATTTTTTTATTACTTTATCAAATTTACATTCAGGCGTATATTGCCCTCTTGTTTCGTTTTGTCGCGCTCTTTCTTTTTCGTTTTGTCGTATAGTCATGTGTGCGCCCTTCAACCGCGACAGCACAAAATAAAGAAAAAAATCAGAGCGCTGATACTGATACGATATTTTTCATGCGACGAAACGATTAAAAAAATCATTTTGTTAACCCATATTCTTAGATTTGGCGTTTTTAATCTACAGCCGCATGTGCGTCCCACCACTGCAACATAAAATTAAGAAAAACACAACAATACTTTTATTCTAGATTTGATGAGCAACTCTATAGGAGGTTTAAAAAATTGAAAGCATATTGGTTTCGCAAAAGAAAAATAAATAAATGTAAATTTTAAATGAGCCGTGTCACGACAAAACCAACATAATGGGTTTGCGACCAGCATGGATCCAGACCAGCCTGCGCATCCGCGCAGTCTGATCAGGATCCATGCTGTTCGCTTACTAACCCTCTTACAAGTGGAGAAACTGATAGCGAACAGCATGGATCCTGATCAGACTGCGCGGATGCGCAGGCTGGTCTGGATCCATGCTGGTCGCAAAAGCACTATGTTGGTTTTGTCATGACACGGCTCAAATGTACTTTCGCGCATACCCCCAACGACTGCTTTATCATTGTTTGTATTTTGATTTTAATCGTTCTTAAAAATTATATGATTAAAATTGCCTGACTACAGAACTAACATCGGAACATGTGCATATTTAATATACTCGTAAATTAACGATTTTCTTTTGAAAATATGTCATCGAGCTGCATGTTGGTGACCGATATGTAACCTTTCTATCAAAGAGCTAAAATAACTTTTTAAGTGATTTTTAAATTTATTTAAAAATATAATACCAGCGTTGCGATGGATTCCCATGAAAAAAAAAAGCCCTAGCCCAAAAAATTTGTAAGGGCATTTTTTCAAAAAAAGCTTTTCCGCACATAAAATGTTATTTAAACCAGAAATGATTTTTTAATTTTTCCCCTTTTGCTTTAAAGGGCATTTTCAAAATTAAATACTCGATATTTTTTGGCATGCTAACACTAAGTATTTGCTGCTGCTATCACAGAACATGCTCGGAACATCTGTCCAGATATTTAACCCGCTTTTCGCGTGGTCCTTCAGTCGAGGTATAAAAAGGCGGGAAAACCCGCAGCGTCGCAACATTGCCAAAGATAATGACGTTGAAACAGTGTATAAAATTCGGTGTAAAATTGTTGCTTTATTGTGCCGTATGCGCCAGTGCTTTGCAAATAAGCTCTACGTGGATAGCAGACGATAATTTTAAGGATTTGGTAACTGACAGGTGCATTTCGGATACTTTCTATGGCATCTCGTTAATAAACTGTGCAAACAGATGTTTTAGTAACGACCGTTGTTTATCGTTCTTTTACATTAAACACTCTTCAAGTTGTAACCACCATACTACAAAATTTGGAAACGATTCAGCGTCGAATGCAACGTTGTTCATGAAGCACATTGGTTCAACCTATTTCTACAGTAGCGAAAAAATGGCACAGAACATAAGTACGGCATGTGCAGCATCAAAGTGCGCTGAGTTTACGTTCCTGCCGTCTGTGAATGCGTATTTCAAACTCGCATCAATAAGTACGAACGACAGACACAATGCATCGGAACAGTGTATCGACAGCGGTGGCAGTTTAGCTTCGCCAAAAGATGAAAGAACAATCGAGGCCATTGAACGGATGATTCATGTGGACATGGGCGGGATAGCACTTTCTAAAGGATTCTGGTTATCTGCAGTATACAACCAAGATGTGGGTAACTTCGTTTGGTCTGATGACAATTCGACGGTGTTATCCAACCTGTGGCATCCTGGAAAACCGGAATATTTCAAGCGGACTGGAATAAATACGGAATGTGTCGTTCTGGTGCCGCTATATAAGTTTAAACTGGCGGATTACCACTGTAATAGCAGCGGGGACTCAATTATTCCGCTATGTGAATGCCATTAAGACTGTATTCTGATATTCAATTTTACATTTGTTGGCTCTACAAACACCATTTATAAAGAAGAAGAAATTCAGTAACCCCGCTCTTTAATCTTAAGTAAAATCACGATTCCATGCCAACAATTTAACTTAAAATAAAGAAATATTTGATTGGACGATTTAAGTACACTGTATAAGGATGTTTGAGTGCTGCATAATTTGTTGAATCTCCCGTGTCAAAGATTTAAGTTATAATAAGTTTCCTTTTGCACGTTCAATAATTCGACATCTTTCAGTGGTTGAATTACCAAAACTTGTGTCAAAGATTATAGCTTTAGAGATTCCATTATTTCGAGTGTAAGTTAATCATTCTTTGATACTATGCCAAGATTTTAACTTGAAGATTACCATAATTAAAGACTTTAATAATTATTTACTTTGTAATTAATTCGAAACTGTGCAGTATGGTGGCTGATATTGTGTCATGTTTATTTTTGCTCTGCGGGGCGTCTGTCGAAAATACGACAGTATGACCACTTTGTCGTACTTTCGCTCTACAGGACCTCTACGGAGCCTGATGGTCAGCTCAATATGAATCAGCTTTTCATAATTTTTATTCATTCTAGATAGTATAAGACGTATATCTTTTAAATATTGGAATATTTAACCATTCTTTTTTTTATAATTTATTTTTATTTGCCTCACGCCAACTTTGCATTTTGCGCATATTTTTCATATCTTGACTAATTCGTCGGGTAAAACTGTTTAAATCACTTAAAACTTTAAAAACAATCGTCGACTTGACCCTAATTCGAACCCCGAACCACTTATCACTGGACAATGGAGCTTCCAATATACTCGTTAGTAAAAGGTAGAAGCAAACCAAATGCTTCAAAATTAAAAAAAAAAAGAAATCAATTAAGGTTTGCAAACCTTAAAAATATATGTACAAATATAGATAAAATAATAATGATAGTAATAAACGGGAACAAATACTGTTTTGTTTTGTTGCACTGATGTTTATGAATTCAAGAGGACTGAGAAGAAATGGTTTAAACGAGTTTGAAAATCAGATTATCTCCCTTAGATAGGTCGACCGCCGAAATTTTACCAAAATTGTGTTCAATAAGACTAGCAGTACAGTTAATGAACGTTGTACTGTCTTGAAAATGAAAACTGGAGTTCAATATATAAAAAAGAGAACACAAACCAAAAAAATAAAAACATCACACCCCTTCCCCCCGCCCCCGCCAAAAAAAACAAAAAAAACAAAAAAAAAACAAAAAAAAAACAATAAATAACGCATACACACAGTTCAAGCGTTCCATATGTTTTAAACATATATATCTCCTAATAAAATTGTTTCACGATATATTTGTACACTCAGAATAATATTTCGCCCAGGAAACAGTTGAACGATTCTGAACTATTATGGAAGAACGATCGTGGTATATTTGCATATTTTGCTTAAGTAGGATAACCTATTCATTGGAAAGGAATAAA